AAAAAAAAAAAAAAAAAAAGAAACAAGGAAACACAGAAACAGAGAGAGAAGGGGAAGCAGGTCCTCATTGATCTTGGTTGGTTAAACTGTCGTTGAGGTCATCTCGTCGGATCGCCTGTAGCAAAGATGTTTGTTATAATCAGCGGACAGCAGTGACACGGTGGAAATATTAACGAGGAGTTGCTGGGCTCTTTCTTTGAGGCGTTTCCCACACTGAGACAAACGGTGCTCGTCTGGTGCATTCGAACCTCATTGGTCTTCTGGTGTGGTTTATTTGACTGATAACGGTAAACTGTTTATATTGACTCAAGGAAGCTGAAGTACTTTATTTGACTTATTTGGTTGATCACTGTGTCTTTTGAGATTACAGACTCCAACACCTTTACTCGTATTTGTTTAGTTATTGATCATCTGATGGGGGAAAGCGTCAGTACTAAATCCCAGTCGGAGATGTTAAGATTCCTTTATTTCAGTTAAACTTTTATTTCACGTAAAGGTGCGGTAGAGGTGGTATTTCTTGCTATGGATGGTTCCTTCGTAGGTCTACTGTTATATCCTTCAGGAGGGGAGACCATACATTACTGTTGTCAGAAAACACATTTGATCGTACTGTTGTGTATGACAATACATTTATTCTCCATTTTTAGTATCCGGTTCAGTTATTTTTCTTCTACAAGTTTATATCCAGTATTGTGGGGTGGTACTTGAGAGAATAGTGACAATGCAATTACATCCCCTCATCATGGCTCTACAGTACTGGACGCTGGCAAAACATTAAAGGTTGTTAACCACCAAAGCACCAGAGTGGTGATGAGATGGCTTCCACTTCACTATACAACATCATTTGTTGCAATTTCATCCTGATTGGCAGTTGGTTAAAACGGTGATTTGCGGTAGTTTTGATAATGTAGGCAGAGAGGTCACTTCCTAAATAAAGAACGCAATAAAATAATTACAACAACAAGAATAACAACGGATGCAATATATTACAGTAAATGCGGAAAGAATTCAAAACTATAAAAGGGATGCTGTACTTCTGATTACGCTTAAAAAGACAAAAAAAAGTGATCTATTGTGGTTTTACACAAAATGTAGAGCAGTAGGTTTCTGTTTTGTTGTTGACGCTTCACTACCGAGGTTCAGATTTCAATTTTTTACTTAATAAGGGTAAGCAAAACGAAAAAAAAAAAAAAAAACATTACATAACCTTGTCCCTGTCCATTATTGGTATAATATTTACCGGCGTCTTTTTTTTTCTTTGAATAACGAAAAAATGTACCCGCAAAGTGTTTTTTGTTGTGGTAGTTGCAATAGTATATATATATATATATATATATATTCACTTAGAGATGAACGCGAACTTCCCAGTAACACAAGTGTTAGGAGGCAATGATACGACAGTTCGAGACGGGTCAGATGCGTGGGACTCATCTAGTAGTTCGTTACTGTATTTTGCTGAAACACCCTTTGCGTTTGCTATCGTAATATGTGGATGTGCATTAGCACAGGGAAATTCCCCATTGTTACGCACTGCAATAGCCGTTCCTTTTGGGTCTGACGCAATGTGTGTAAGGGTTAGTTGGATACTTGTGCCTAACAGTTCCCCCAGCTGGACCATCATCACAGGGTCCGTACTAGTTTTGTTACCAAGAAATAGAGTGGTCACATGGAACTCCTTTTGCACAATCTTGTCGACTAGCATCTCTGATGGTACGAGTGATAACACATCATCATTTGGTGTAGTTATCTGAATAGCAGCATACTGTATTCGTTTGGGAATCCTACCTAGAAGTAATTCGTAACGAGATGATATGTTAATTGCAGATGTCACATCAAGTGTAGAGAGATCCTGAAGGTCTGTCATACCATGTGAACACAATGCAGCCCACACACGCTCTACTATAGTAACTATACTATCTTCGACATTTACTTCAATAAATACTCCTTCTGTTGGGGGGCGATAACGTTCTGCACAACTACGAATAATACCACGCATACGATGCATTTCTCTTTCTTCAGCTTTGAATGTACGATGAGAACTACCACGTTCGCAAACACGTTTAAAAGAAATATCTGCTAATGCTTGAGCTCCATCAGGATGTGACCATGCTACTGTAAGAGTTTTTAGACCCAGTTTCACATAATCTGCACGAGCAATATCATCAAGATTCATTTTATCAATAATAAGATGAGAGTATCCTGCTTGCTTTGCGTTTTGTATGGCTTCAAGAAACTGTTTTCGGTCACCAATCTCATCTTGATTTAACCAACATGGAGAAAGATGCGCCTGTCGTAACAGTGCAAAGAGCACACGGGAAATTGTAGATTTCCCACAACCTTGTGGACCAACACATAAAATAACATCCGGATCATTGTTTGTCACTTCATTGGGAAGTGGTTCGTAATGCATGACTTGTTCCTTCAGTTCCTTATCCTCCACAGCAGAGTGTGTGAACTGACGTTGCAGTACAATCCACTTACGACGTAATTCCTGCAAATCTCCTAGGGATGTTGAGGCGGTTAATTGTCCAGTGACATGAAGCCAAGCGGCTAATTGTATGAGATACTCCAGACGTTCCTCTTCCCATTCTACAAGGCATTGTCGAACTTCCTTTGGAACACCTGCCAATTTTTTCAGTAGTTTACTACGCAAAAGATTACCACTTAAACGATGGGTGATGATGGCCTCCTGTGCCGCTCGCTCAATGCCGAAGGGGTGTGAGCGGAGTTTCCACATACGTACCACAACGCCAGTATCGTTAAGACCGTAAATTACGGCTCCCTTGCAGTTTAAACGATGGGCAATACTCTCACGCTGCGCTGCATACTCTGTGGATCCCAATGGCAACAGCGGGCCACACTCCACAACATCAAGTCCAAACGATTGTAGTTTTGTTAATATGTTTTCAGGATTAATACAGAGACCACTACGTAATGGCATTGTGTGATCGGCGACGGCGTAAAAGCGAAGTCTTTCACCAGGGCCATAATCCACAATGTGAGCGGAGTACTCAAGGATGGCATCAAAGCATGCGGTATAACCCGTTTGAGTTAAGAATTCATGTAATTCAGACGATTTTTCTGGTTTTAATGCGTTTAATGTGTTTCGCCAGACTCTTACAATTTGTTTTGTCACTCTGACAGACCATAAATCTTTCTGTTCATCATTAAAGACATCAAGATCCTCCTCTGGTACATCAAACCGCACCAAGAAATGCATATCTTTACTCCCCACAATCCAAAAACGCTCCCCAGCATACGTGAAGGCTGCCAATTGACCACAATCACCATCAATGGCTTCTAATGCCACAGCAGCAACGGCTTCTTCCTGTGGTACACTATACGGAGCGTCAAAATAACTGAATTTACGCAATCCTTGAAGAGATGCCACTTTAATGTACTTATCTTTCTCGGGAGTTGCGGCGAAGACACATGCCTGGCCGCGTGGAACATGTTCCCACACCTTGCGGTTTGTACGATACACCGCATCGTCGTAACCAATTACGGTGCGATCCACTACGGCAAAGCACACGCCGGCAATCGTTGTGCAGATGGGCCGCACACGAACTCTATTGTTGTGTGGAAACATTGGCTGAAAGGCGCTGCGGAGACAACTCGCCAAAGCAATATCACTCTCCTGATGTTCGGCTTCCGCAGAGGGTGTAGATTTGTCTTTATTAAACGGATGCTGTTTGGAGTTTTTTCGGTAAGAAGAGCCTCGACGTTTGGCATAATGATTTTCACCACCACATGAGGTGCCAAACCCCATTTAGTACGCCTTATGTTTAATTATGTGTAAAAAACAAAAAAAAAAACTACTTTGTTTTTCTTTTTTTTCCCTTTCCTTTTCTTTGAATTCTTTTTTTTTTTTTTTCAATGAATAAAGCAAAGTAAAGAATGCATTAATCAATCCACCACAAAATAATAATAATAATAATAATAATAATAATAATAATCATAATCATCATAATAATCATCTAAAAAGCAAGTTATATGTCTATTCTTTACTCATGTAAATGTAAATATATGTATATGTGTAAGATATTCAGAGATCCTTTCCATATCATTTTTTTTCTTTTCTTTTTGTAAATACAAAAAAAAAAAATACAAGTATTGCTTTTTTTTTTTCACTTGTATTATAGTAGAATGTTGCGAACACTACAAAAGTGCTCCACATCCGCGTCTGTGATCGTCGATCGCCGCTGTTGCCATTCAGACAACACGTGCCGCATCACAACATCAGCCGCCATATCCTTCACCTGCGCACTATTCATTTCACCCGCACTATACTTTGTTGTGACTTCTTCAAAGAGTTTATCATCAGGGGAAAAGAAACGGATGAATTGATAGGCCACATCCGCGTCCAGGTCTACTCCTTTTGTCTGCATGTCTGCAAGTGTACCGCCTCCTCCTGAAAAAGCTCTACGCATTTTTTTACATACCTGTTCTTTTGTGTCATGAAGTGTAATAACACCATTCATCTCCGCACTACTACTCATTTTAAATGTCATTCCTTTGAGGGCGGGAAGAAATTTCGTATGCAGTAAAGCAGGAGCTTGACACTTCATTCGTGAGGCCACACCACGAGTTAATACAAAGAAGGGATCTTGATCAATAGCGCAGGGTACAATACATTGTAGTGGATGAGCCTTTTTCTTTTTCTTCTCTTCTGTTTGCGGTTGCAATACATGAGGGAAGGCACTACTAAAACATGGAGCTGCCTGAATAGCGGGAAATGCCGCTTTCCCTACATTATCACTATCCCGAAGTCCAAATGTATTCTTCACCGCACTTAATGTCAACATACGCTGCACCTTCACCACCGTAGGATACATACTTCCCATATAGGTAGTATTACAGAATATAAAGGTTTTACGTGGGTCAAAACCAAAAGCGATAATATCTTTTATATTCTCCATCACCATATCACCACCAACAGGGATATCACGGAAAAAGTATTTTTCATCGTCTGTAATTTGAATCACTGTTGGAAGTCCAAGAGCATCTTGTAGGTATTTTGTTAATAGAAATGGAATCACATGTCCAACATGCATAGAACGCGCACTTGGACCACGTCCAGTGTATAAATACGCACGTGGTGTTCCTGTTGACATTCCCAGACGAACACAATCAAGAGCTTTACCAAAGTCACGATGTGAAAAGACGATACCACGATGAAAAAAATGATGTAGCGGTTTTTGCTCCTGTTGTTGCTCCTCCTCCTCCTCTGTTTTAAGAGTATTATTATTATTATTCTGCACTCTTCTCATCTGCAATCCCTCATTACAGGTGTCATGAAGTTGTTGCAGTATTGATTGATCGACAGGTTCCGACTTGAAACGCGTAAGCACACGATCGTAGTCAATGCCTTTTGGACCCGCAGCAGAAACATTCCACGGCGTCACTACATCTTCACTAACACATTTATCGCTGTTGTTACTATCAGATATGTGTGTGGCTATGCATCGACTAGAAGCAGCAGGTAATTGACATAAGAGAAGCCTCGTCCTATGGGAAGCGCAACGCATTCTTACAAATCCAAATCCCTATGGGAAATACATACACAGAGAGAGAGAGAGAGAGAGAGAGATAGAAAGAAAAGAAGATAGAAAACATAGCAAGAGCATAATGCTACTTTTTTTTTTTTTTTTTTACCTTTTTTCCTTTCCTGTTCAATGTCCATACTAATTCACCTCACTATCTCTTAGAGAGATAAAGGCTGTATCTCTTTCTCTCTCTCTCTCTCACTTCGACACTCTCTTACTCTTTCCTTTTTTTCTTTTTGACTCATCCAGTAATGAGAAAAAAAGAAAAAAAAACAAGGGGATCCAATATACCCCAACTCTTAGAGAGCATACGAAGAAGAAAAAAAAAAAAAAGCCCTCTATAGGAATAGATATAATGTAATATATATGATTTCTGTCTATGCACAGTTGTTTTTTTTTTTTTTTTTCTTCTTCCTTTCGTATATGTGTAATAATATGAGGAGGGAGTGTCAGTGTACTACTGCAGGCATGTATCCCACGAGTGTTGTCCCACCAGATGCGGAAACACTCAACACAAGTGCCTTTCCATCCACAAGATGCAACACAACTTGCAGCGGCGTAATTTCTTTAATGGCCAAAAACCTCGCAAATCGCTTTACTTCCACTGTTACTGTAGCCTGTTGCATTGCCACTTCGTCCTTTTCTCTCCGTCGTCTCTTCCTTTTATTATTATTATTATTTTTATTCTTCTTGCCACTATCATCATGTTGACTATCCTCATCACCCTCTGTTTCTTCCTCCTCCTCTCCATCTTCATCTTCTTCACGCTCACAGAGTCGCACAGAGTTATACTTCAGTGCGAAATTAGCCAGAAAGCACTCTGCATCAATCACCAGACTACATGTGGGTGGATTTGTGGAAACAGCCATATCATTTCCCTGTGCATTAGCCTGAGCTGTGAAGGTCATACGCTCACATGAGGTGGATCGCACCTTATCTACAAATAACATCAACTCCGTAAGACTTGGAAGAATTACTTGCATCACTTCATTCTCAAGTGGTGGGGCACTTATGTTTTGTACCTCTGCCTCACTTAACACCCGTACAGGGACATCATGACTGATATCTAGATGACGGAGCACTCCTTGCATAGATACACGCAGTGCTGGCCGCTTTGCTGCATTTTTTGTTAATTTAATACTCACATTTGGGCATCGTTCTGCCTGTCGCAATACGTGAAGCAGTCGGGAGAGATCTGCCACTTCACAGTAAATGGCATTATCTGGTTGATGTGATTGTGCGTGGAAGTCAGCGAAGATGGACTCTGTGCGACATCCAGCCCACACCTGCGAGCCGTCAGCGAGTGGAGCAATGGCGAAGAGACGTGTACGGGCGTGATGTAAGCGAAGTACGCCACGTCTTTCAATACTGCGACAGGCGTGACAGAGAGCGGCGAGTGTGCGTTGATCCCGCACTGTCGCCTTGAACTTCATCCCACACACTCACTATATATATATATATATATATACGATGTACAATGTACACCTATATAGTTTGAGAGAGAGAGAGAGGGAGAGAGAGAGAGATAGGAAGAGCGAATGAGGCATATAGGAAGATATGACGATAAACCAGGGCATATATATATATATATGATAGTAAAGAAAAAAAAAGAAAAGAGTAGAATATGTAAAGAAAACTGACATCCCATTTCCATTTCCATTTTTTTTTTTTTTTTTGCCTCTCGTTCTTCTGCCAAAGAGTAATAATAATTTACATGATCTAAATCATTGGTTGTGTTGCACTACTTGTAGGAGCAACTTCAGTAACAACTTCCGTCTTAGCAGCCTCTTTTTCCTTTTTTGCCTCTTCTGCTGCTACTACTACTGGTGGTAGAGAAGGAGCTATCTTTACTGGTTCTGATGGAGATGACATTGGCTGTAGAGTACTACGAAATTTTCCTGTTGTGGTAGACATTCCCCCTATTCCTCCTGATCTCTTGGTATTCCCAAAGGAACTCTGTGTACTCATGAGATCTTTTAACAGTGCAGCTAATACCCCTTCAATGGTCCGTCGTTGCAAGCCACTAGAGACTTCTTCTTCTTCATAATCATCATCATCATCGTCATAAGGATGGTGTTGGACGATTTGATAACTGGCGAGAAGTTCAAGTGAGAGATTGGGTGTATAACCAACTTCACACAGGGAACAACACTCATCACAAATTATTTCCCCCTGCGGTGTACAGAGATCTGAAAGACACTGTTGACAGAATGTATGTCCACATGGCCATAATGTACGTGGACTCTCAAATATGTAAAAACATCGCTTACATGTGGATTCCAGTTCTAATGAAGAATGAAAGCTCATCACATTACCTACAGCAATAATGGCAAGTTTTATAGCGTCAAAAAGTCCACGAGCGTGAAAGTACAAATCCTCTAAATCTTCTTCTGTACGCCTTATCTGTGGATCGACATAGCCAAGATCCTCTGGGGTGCATTGACAACCCACATCTCGACCCACACGTCGTCCTCTTGTGAGAGCAAAACTCTGAAGAAATGATCGTACCGCAACATCATAATCACGCTTTACATCTGTACCAACTTGTAGTTGACGAATATCAAGACGGTGTGTTTTTGCATATTCATTAACGTCTCGTGTAAGACGTAAAGCAAAGGCGTCACGCTCTTCACCAACCGCTGCTCTTGATAATCGTTGAACATCTAATTCACAATCATCAAGAAATGTATCCTGTTCTTCTACTTGCTTCCGTAGTTGTAAGAGTGTTTGCCATATATCTGAATACTCCTCACGAGCTTCTTGTTCAAAACGACGGCGAAGTTCTTCAGCATTAATTTTCATTTGCATCATTTGTTCCTCTTCTGCATTTGCGGAAAGAGAAGGATGACTTGAGCGGTGATTTTGTGGTACAAAGAGGCCTTCTTGCTGTTGTTGTTGTTCTCGTGCTCGTACTTTAGCAGCGTAGTTTAATAATAAACTACTAGCATCCGCAAGTTCTCCTAAAACTCCCTTTGCCTCATTACGAAGACGCACATGATGTTCTTCTTCTGGAAATGTTGCAAGAAATAGCATTAAGTCTTCATCATCATTATCAAAGAAACTGCTAAGCTCATTATCATCGTCATCGCTACAGCTCACATCATCTAATTGTCGAACCACACGTTTTGCACTCTTTGGTATATGAGCAAAGTCTGGTACCTTCCAGCGACTCTTTCCACGTGAAATCCCTTCCTTTCCCGTATCTTTACTCTTCTTACGTGGTAAACCATCATATGCATAACGAACAAATTTTCTAGACATTTCCCGTGCGGATCCAGTACGTATCTTCTCAACTGTCCAACTTGGTGGCAGTGCATCTCCCTTTCCTCGTGTTCCTGGTCTAGTCGAGCGAGAATCATCACCCAATCTTTCTTCTTCATCTTCCTGTAGCCGCTTTGGACGACGACGTTGACGTGGTGGTGTGAATACTTCCACCAAATCCGCTCCCGGCACTACAGCATCAAATACATTACTGCCAGACGTACCACTACGATCATCTGTAGTTGCATTATCTCTCACTCCAGCAGAGTGTCGATCGGCTTTACCGCGTGATGGTGGTGTTTTCTTCTTCCACCATTCTGGACCTCGGTATGTATTATCCTTTTCATCATCATCTGGTGATAAGGTACCATCCTCTTTCTTTCCTCGTCCATCTTTTTCTCCCGCACTAGATGGTAGTAATTCTTTCATTTCACTGGGTTTCTTGGTTTTACCAAATGCATCTTCATCAATGGAAGCCGCTCCATGACGAGAGTCACCAGTATAATATGCATTAGGATATGCTGAATGAACCTTTCGTCCTTTGCGTATACCTGGAGTACCTAATTCATATGCCTTTCCTTCATCTAATCCTCTTAGTGGAGGAAGACGTGCATAAATATCTGCTGAACTTATTCTAGTACCTCCTACATTATCTTCAACAGTGATATCATCACTATTTTCATCACTACCAAGTATAGTTGAAGAACATGCTGCTTTTGCTTTTGCTGCAGCTATTATTGCTTGTTGCTCACTTTTACTCATGGTACCCCAGTAAATAGCAGCTTCTTCCTCTGTCATTTGCTCACCACCTTCGGCTCCTGGTCTAATGAGTAAAGGTAAACATTCTTTTAGTCCTGTAAAAGAATCAGTACTACCATGTGAATCAGGACGTTTTTCCCAAGGAGATGTGGTTCCATCTTGCAAAGTACCCTTTTCACCTTTACGATGCTCCCTCGCTGATAAAGCAGCTCGTCGTTTCTCCTGTAATAACGATTTCGCTAATTCATGAAATGATGCATCATCCATTCCAGCCATCATTTGTTCAGATGCAGAGAATAATAATCCCGCTTGCTTTTGCACTTCCTCTGATTTCGAAAGTTGTTCTAGTTGTTGCCTCATTGTATCTTCATCTTGTTCTAATAATCGGGCAATTTCTTCTGAAGAGACTGCACCAGTCATCTCTAATCGACCTATTTGCCGCGCCAATTGCAACATACCCATTAATTCCTCATCTCCTTCTAACAGAGAGTGTATTCCAGAACCAACTCCTCCAGTTGTTCCTGGAGTTGAATCTATTCCCGCTGCTGTCATTGCTGCTTCTCCTCCTGTTGCTGCTGCCATTGCTTCTGCTACTGCGGCTGTCCATTTATCACCTTTCTTTGTTCTCATAAAACGGGTAACCAATGCTTGATAAGTAGCAGAATCAAGACCTAAAGCCCTTGCGGCGGTTAACATTCCTTCACGAGATCCTGCCAACCTCCACCATGTTGATGGACGTGCTCGACTACGGAGAAGCATTCGCGTCAATGCCTTAGCCCTACTTGCTTTTCTCCACTCCGTAATAAGAGCTGCATAGAGACCTCTATTATGATTGGGTACACCAACAAGACGACGTACAGACATATCAGCAGTTTTATCCGTCACTCCTTCAGGGGAAGTGGCTGGCGGTAATGATAAAGGTTCACGAGAATGAGATAAACCAACTTGAAATGTGGGTAACATACTACGATCATTTAATGGAGCAACTCCTCCTACTCCTTTTGAACTATTAACATATAAGGTATTCTTTTCATCATCAGTTCCCAAAGTTCCATATGGACGTTCAAGAAGTCCTCTAAGAGGTCCTCCTATAAAATATTGACGCCGTTGATCTGAATCTTCATCCGTGGAAAGAAGAGGAAATCGTGTTCGTGATTGTATACCTTTTATACTACGAATATCAACTAAAGGCCTAATTTTTCCTTCTTCTTCATTATGATTACTCTTAGTTACGGAAGGATCTATTAACGAGGAAGTATTGACTACGGTTACATTTGTGGTTTGTTCATCTGACATTTTATTCATATCTTGTTTAGCCATTTTCTCCTTCTCTTGATCATCTTTTGTACTAGATGCCCAACGCATAAAATCTGCCTCAGCTCTTCGGAGACGCAATTGTTGTTCAATCAACATATGTGCCCGTCGTAAAGTTTCAGCCCTAATTCTTTCCACTAGTCCCATTCGAGCGTAAGATTGAGGAATATGTTCCTCCCTAGACTCATTATTATTCCCAGGCGATGGGCTCGTATGCGCAGCCTCAGCAAATGGAGTGGAGTGTTCCCCTGTGTGGTGTGCCGCCAATGCACTCCAGGTACGATATCGCGGTAATCCTCCCGTTTGTTGTTTCTTAACTTCCACGTCTTTTGACTGAGAAAACACGGGTTTACGAGCCATGGGATACTGCTCCATTACACTTAGCACCTTCTCCTCAAGCCTCTTCTTTGCACCATTTGTGTGGGTTGTTTTCTTCTTATCACCACTTGCGTGCACAGCGTGTTGCATTTCCACCGTTTTCTTTTATTTTTTTTACTTTTCTTCTTTGTTCTGTTTCCTTGTACTGAGTCACGTGTACAAGAGAGGAGAGGGGATAAATAAATGAATAAATTAAATAAAAAAAAAAAAAAAACTGCACTGACTATTGTCGATTACTTTCTGGTGTACTGTTTATTAGTTTCTTGACTCTGGTTAAGTGAACCATATAAATAAATAAATAGATAGAGAGAGAGAGAGAGAGAAGAAAAAAAAAAAATAAGAATTAAAGAAGATAAGTCCACCATGGCAGAAACATAAGAAAATGGACACTCAGAAAAAAAAAAAAAAAAGAACATCAGTTGGGAAGTTTGCAGTATTAATTAAAAAAAAAAAAAGACTAATTTACTAAAGGTTCATCTTAGATCAACACAATGACAAAAAGAAAAGTAGGTAACCTATATTCCTACCCCTTTACTTCTACTCCCCAATGAACTGACTCATAACAACCAACACGGAAAAACACCTTGAAAAATTAGTTTGTAAATATCGATACTGATCCCATTTACTTCAGGAAATGGTATGAAAGTTCTTAAAGCCAAAGTCACACCATCTTGAACAGAAACGAAAAGAAAAGAAAAAAAAAAAAACACATCTCTGAGTGAAGAGACAGTGTAAACATATACGTCTGTCTACAACATACATTTAGGAAATCATGCACAATGAACGGCTTGATTTCACCTTCTGCTCATTTTTTTTTTNAAAAAAAAAAAAAAAAGAGTGACAAGTACATTTAATATTTTAAAAGTTCAATTAAGTGCGTCATTCGTGTACAACAGGAAATCATGCACAATGAACGGCTTGATTTCACCTTCTGCTCATTTTTTTTTTTCTTTTTTTTTCCCTTCTTCAATAGCCCTTACAATATGAAAGTATCTATCTATACATACATATATATGTGTGACAGAAAAGTAAAATCAAATTTCATCCTAAAAACAAGTAATTCCATATGTTTAGAAATGGACAAAATACACTACCCCCTTAAAATCCTTCGCAAGCACGAGATAAGGACAAACCACCATCCACATTAAGAATGGTCCCTGTAATATAATTTGCATTTTCTGACACAAGGAATGCGACAGAACCTGCTACTTGCTCAGGTGTTGCTTCTCTTTGTTCAAGTGGCACTTTCTGACGCAAAAGATTCTGTTGTTTCTGCGGCATTTCTTCAGGAAGTAAACTTATTCCAGGTGCAACAGCATTAACACGTATTTTTAGTGGAGCCAATTCCAATGCGGCCGATTTTGTTAGTCCAATTAGAGCATGTTTTGCCATTGTGTACATGGTATAACCTGGTAGCGGCCTATCCACCATAGAATCAATAATATTAACAATAGAAAGATTGCGCTTCTCTTTCAAGTCATCAGGTTGATATTTGGCGAATGCACGAATCAGTAAATAGGGGGCAATGGCATTAGATCCCAAAATATCAGAAATTTCACCCTCAATTTCCACTTCTTCTGTGTTTTTATTTAACTCATTAGATGGTAGCAATGGTGTAGGAAAAAATGCTGAGGCGTTATTCACCAACACATCACAACGTCCAAAAGTACGGAAGCAAAATCCCATGATAGCGTCACATTGGTTAGGGAGGGAACTGCTGTACCTAAAATCAGACTGATAACCCAAGACAGATTTAGGACGAATAGCATTCAACTTATCCACAAGTGACTTCGCTTCGACGACGGAAGATCGAAAATGTAGCAAGATACAATAACCGTCCCCATGCAATTGCTCAACAATACTTCGTCCAATGCGATGTGCCCCTCCCGTCACGAGAGCAACAGGGGCTCCTCCATCTAAAAAAGGACAGTTTGCATTTCCATTTATGTCAAATTCCCCCGAGGACATTATTTACCTTTCCCTTTACCACCTTTTCAATGGTTATAAGAAGTGAAGAAGATAAAGAGAAAAGATGAAAGAAAAGAAAAGTAAAAGAAAGAATAACCAAGAAGGAGGAACTCCCAAAAGGTAAAAAAAAAAAAAAAAAGAATTCATCTACCACAATACGTTATGTGAACATTAAGACAATGATAGCCCATCACCAAGACTGAGGGGAAGAAATACCTAAAAAAAAAAAA